GGAGATTCGTAACTTTCTTGGAATGACAGGTTATTACCATAAATTTATGGAAGACATTTCTTGCCTAACCACTTATTTGATCCGGCTTATAAAAAAGAACGTTAAGTTTGAATAGAATAAGGATTACGAAATGAGTTTTACGGAACTCAAGAAGCAGTTGACTACTACATCTGTGTTGGCCTTACTGAGTGGGATAAATGGATATACAGTGTATAGTGATGCCTCCTATTTGGGGTTGAGTTATGTTATGATGTAGCATGAGAAGGTTATAGCTAATAAGTACAGAGAGTTGAGGAGTCATAAGAAAAATTATTCATCCACGACTTGGAACTTACCGCCATTATCCACGGCTTGAAGACTTGGTGTCACTACCTGTATGAGAAAACTTTTAAGATTTATACTGATTATAAGAGCTTAAAGCACATATTCATTTGGAAGAATCATAACATGCGTCATATGCGTTGAATATAGCTACTTAAGGACTACAATTGTTATATTTTATATTACAGGGTAAGGGTAATGTGGTAGCCGACACACTCAACAGGAAAAGTGCAGGTATGTTAGCTTACCTAATGGTTTCTGAATGCAAGGTAATAGGGGCCGCACAACAAATACGATTTCAGAACTTGAAGAGAGTTACATGTTTGACCTATCTGATTGTCTAACCAGAATTGATCCAAAGAATAAAAGAAGTCGAATTAATTGATTCCACCATAACAACTCTCAATAATGATGCAGAATAGGGAGTACATCCAGAATTTTGATTCTTTGCCGATGGGTTGCTCAGGTTTCAGGATAGAAAATATGTTCCAAATGACAGTGAACTGAAAATTGACATCATGACAAATGCTCACAGTTTAAAGTTCGTCATACATCCCAAAAGTACTCAAATATGTCAAAGTATGCGACCCCGATTTTGGTGGAACATGATGAAAAGAGAGATAATCGACTTTGTCTCAAAGTGTTTAGTGTGTCAACAGGTTAAGGCTGAGTATCAACGCCCAAACAGGTTACTTCAGCCATTACCAATTTCAAAGTGAAAGTGAGAGCGTACTACAATAGATTTCGTGATGGAGTTGCTCAAGACATGCTTGGGACATGATGTTATATGAGTAATTGTAGACCAGCTCACCTTGTTCTCTCACTTCTTAGCTATCAAGATGACTGACCTTTTGGATAAGGTAGTAAGAATGTATATATATATATATGAGATATAGTTAGGTTATATAGAGTTACAGTGACAGGGGTGTCTGACAGAGTCCCCAGATTCGCTGCTCGGTTTTGATATATTTTTTAATAAGCTTTGGGAACAAATTTGTCTCTTAGTACCGCATTCCACTCTCAATCCGATGGACAATCAGAGGACGATTCAGACATTAAAAGATATACTCCGAGCTTGTTTTATAGACTTCGGGGGTCATTGGGATGATCACCTATCTTTAATAGAGTTTATCTATAATAATAGCTACCAAGAAAGTATCGACGTAGCGTACGAGGCATTATATGGCCACCTCTATAGGTCACCGATCTGTTGGAAAGAAGTGAACGATATAAAATTGTTTGGTCCAAATATTGTAGATGCGACTACAGTCAAAATAGTTAAGATAAGAAAGAACATTCAGATACATTATAACAGAGAGAAGAGTTTTACGGATTTATGTAGAAGGGATTTGAAATTTGAGAAATGTAATCGAGTGTTTCTGAAGCTCACTCTTTTCAAAGGAATCAATATATTTAGAAAAATGAGAAAAATAAATCTCCAGTTCATTCGGCCATTTGAGATTTTAGATAGGATTAGAATGACTGCCTACAGACTGTGACTACCTTCAGAGATATTTAGGGTTCATAATATGTTTCATGTATTAATGCTACGCAAATACAACTCGGACCCTTTACACATTCTATCCCACGAACCCCCTTCACTCCAGAAGGATCTATCTTATGAAAAGGTACTAATGGCCATTGTAGGCCGAAAAAGTAGAGTACTCCGCAATAGAGAAATTCTCTTTGTCAAGGTCCTGTGATGGAATCACACACAAAAAGAGGTCAAATGAGAGCTAGAATCGGACTTCAGAGTCCAATATCCACAATTATTTAATTAAGTGAGAGAGTGACAAATTTAGGGAACTAAATTTTTTTAAAGGAGCGAGAGTTATAATACTTAGTCCTGAAATTTGGTCCGGGATCAATTTTGGTAATTATAAAAATAATAAAAAAAATTATTTTTAAATTAATTTAATTTAATTTTATTTAATTTTTTGAAAAAAAAATTGGTTATGAGCGTAATTGAAAGTAATTTTAGAGAAAAGTGGTGAAGATTTAAGTTCGGATGGTGTTTTTGAAAGAGAAATTAAAAACACGGGTTAAAATGCAAAAAGAAAAATTCGACCATGTTGGACAACCTAATCAGTAGCCTCGACAAATAGGAGTACGCCACGTGGCAAAACACACTGACATCGACACCATGCGAGAGGCCATACGGACGATCTGCGTGCTCAACGATTCAATAACCCAGGTTCGATCCTGCGCGTGTGAATGACTAATATTCGTTCCCTCCTTAAACGCGATTGGATGGACGAGATCAATCATGATGAATAGGCCACATTCGCCCACGCAATCGATCTAAGCAGGCAACGATCAGACGACTCTTCTTGCTCCATGTCGACACGAATGGACGGGCCAAATCGACATATAATGAGTATAAAAATATGGCTTCGCAAGGGAACCTTAACTCTAACCGCCTTGCCCTCGTCGGAGAAGGAGGACCAACTGCTGGAGAAGGAGAGTGGCCCCTGGCCACCGCCGTACCGGTGTTACTGCCGACCACCAAAAAAGGTAAAGTTCTCCTCTATTCGCTCGAAATTTGCTTCCAAGTCTCCCTTTGTCCATATTTGAGTAAAAAAGGCAGCAAGTGAGCTGAAAACTACAAGTAAAGCCCACCCGACAGAGTCACTGTAGCTAAAACCCTAAACCCCTTCCGATGAACCCCCTTATGTTTCTCGTTTCACGTGATTTTATGACTATTGTATTCATAGTCCTTTTTTGTACAAGTTAGCAGAAGAAAAAAATCCGAGTCGCGAAGAAGAATCGACGAAGCCGTCGCACCCAGAGACCCCCTACAAGTAAGTGTGATTTTTTAATGATTTTTGGCCAAACAAGGCCTCCATAACTTGTTTTTTCATAAGGGTACATTAAAACTAGCCAAAACCAATTAAAACTGGCAAAATTAAGGCGAATTGGCATCGGAGCACGGCGGTAGCATTGTGCTAAAACTCCAAAATTGGTCGAAAAGGATTTTCAACATCGATTTAGAATTTTTTAGGGTTTTTTTAGTTGTGTGATGAGTATTTTGAATTTTTGATAGAAAATTTAGGAAATTCAGGACCTGTTAGGAGGCGTAGTAGATAGTTCGACATCTCAAAACATCAATCCAGGTAAGAATCTCTTACCCTATTCGTTGTTACGGTAAATTGAGCCTTAAAAATCAATAATATTGTGTTTAGTGAGAAGTTAAAAGAAGTCTAAAAATAATTAAAGCTTACTAATGGAATCGGAACCGGTCGACTTACATTTGTCTTAGTTTGTCTGTGTTGCCTGTTTATTTTACTATGCTTCCTAAATTGATTATCACTCCGTCATGTGTTTTAATTATTACTTTTAATCATTTTCTCATTTATTGACTACCCAATCGTTATTTTTTTTTATCTGAGTGATTGATTGGAAATAGAAGCCCTAAGTAAGTTTCTTAGTTATTAAGGTATGAAGTTGTATTATTTGTCTAAATACCGTTTAATTAATCTATAAATATGTTATGAAAGGTTGAGTGTGCACTCGATATTTATTTTGTTGATGAAGATCTTTATGTGAATGGTTTACTGGGTATTATATGAAAGGGCGGACAAGTCTCGTACATACAGAACTTTACCGTGAACACTTATCTCAGTCAGACGGGACTGATAAGTCCCATACCAAAAGGGTTTGAAAGATATAGTTTACTCTCATACCGGATGGAATATCGAGATGATGGAATGCTTGACACCCATTATTAGACGGGTATGAGGATGGGCAATTTATTGATAAATTTGAATATTTAGTTCATGCGTAGGAGATACATCCCTATGGACCTCTAGGAGTACCAGTAAAAAGGTAAGAAAGGAAAATTATCGTTTATTTTTCACTTGTGTGTGAAATTGCAAAGTTGTATGAATAGTGGTCTTCATAGGTTTATTTTTTAAAAAAACTCATAATGGTAAGTATGAAATAAATGTTTTTTTTCTATGATAAATGAAGTTACTTAAATTAATGGCTCTATTAGTTGTTTTGTGATTTTTACTAATCTTTATTTTCCATATAAATGATTAACGTGATATTCTTATTGGGTTAATGTAGCTTACTATTCTATTAATTATTTTAGATCAAGAGGATCTGGATCTACACCCCAATCAATAAAAAAGTTGTGAATAGTTTATCTCTCGAACCCCTTTAAGAGCTAGTGGAGGTTAACCCCTAATACATTTATTTATTTGTTTTAAATTATTTATTTTTATTAGTCACTGTAGTAGAGTCATTTTGGTAACTCTTAGGTATTCTAGTTTATTATGTAAAAAATATAAACTCTAATATTATAATTCAATTTCACATTTAAATTATAAATCTACTTCCTTTAAGTTATGTGCTTTTACACATGAGTTTATTGATAAAATTGAATTAATTAATTTCAATATTTTTAGTAAAATTATTAAGTTTTTAATTTTATTTTTTTCATAATTTAAATAAAAAAGAGAAATAATGAAATGTTAAGTTTATTTAATTATTTTATTTTAAAAGATATTTACCAAAAAATAACCCATAAAATAATTTTTAAAGTTTCAAGAAGATTAAAATATTAAAATTTCAAAAATTGAAATGAAACTTTTCTTTTGAGACAACCACTAAAGTATCCAATTTGTTTTTTTTTTTTAATTCTTTTTGGAGAATTACTTAATTGGTTCAATCAAACAGTGCCTCTTAAAAAAAGAGACTCTCAGACGGTAATCGTTTTGAATGAATTCTTCTCCGTTCACCAGCGTCCTCTCGGCGCTCGTTGTAAAAATTTGAACAGCGGACGACGTCGTATTTAATGCATAAGGAGCACCAGGAGGTGCTAAGTAGCCGAGGGATAGAGAAAATTAGGGCTCCGCGGATCACCTAGACCTGTCCTCCATCCGGTGATGGCGTCTGATTCCTCAAGGACGCGAATCGATCAGGTCCTTTCTTAATCCGGCAGTTCTTTTCAAACCCTCGATGCTTGCAATGTTCACTTTATATTTGAATTCTTTCTATACATTGATATACGTACACAAGCACTGATACGATTATCTTTGATACTGAATCAAGAAGTTTCGTTATCCGAGCCTCTTTTTTTATAACTTTTAAATCTTTAATATATTCTTGTAAACTCTGTTACTAATCTCCGAGGCAGCTCTGATGAAGTAGAATTTCTTTGTGAATTTGAATTCCATTTCGATACTGATATTTCTGCAGAGAATATATTTGGCTTTGAGAAACTGGAAAGCAGGATAAATTGTGGTTTTGAACAGATTTGCTTTGTTGTTTTGTAGTAAAAATGAAGAAATGGTATTCAGTGCCCGTGGAAGGATTTTTTTTTTTCAAGAAAAATGGATTAATATGCACAGAGGAATGCTTCCCACGATCAAACTTGTGTACAATAAAGAATTCAGTCAATTCTAATTAGTGCTTTCTTGGGTCTTAAAAATGACACTGGCAATATCTGATTTAATGTTTGTAGGAAATAAGTTAAAAAGAATATTGTAAATGAGAACTGGAGAAGTTACAGTTTCAGAGCTAGGCTACGCTCATCATGTTCATGAACAGAAAGAGAGCATGAAAAATTCTTTTTATTGAAGTTTCTTTTGGCGTGAATTTTATTTGTTTGTTGGATATTGTTTATAGTTCTTTGCATCGAGGAAGAGGAAATCTCTATCACCTGGTCTCAAGTCTGGAAGAGTTGGAAAAAATGCAAAAGTAACAGTCTGTTCGCCTAGTGCCAAGGGTAGTTTGGACGATTATTTGAAAGTCCCACTGGATGATAACAATGCTGCAAAGTCTTCGTACAAAGCTTCTGGATCATTAACTAGGAAGGATGCAGTTAAAAGAACTTTGGTTTCAGAGATCAACAAATTGCCTGAGGCTGACAAAGAGAAAAAACAGGCCTCTATACCCACTCACATACACATGGAAGCTTCAGGAGTAGAAGGAACTCTGAAGAGAGCATCTCAAAATTCTGGAGCCCAAGATTTTGTAAAAGGTTGCTCAGTTTCCACTGACGACGCAGAAAACTTGGAACTAAAGCAGTTTGCCACTGATTTTTTGTCTCTTTATTGTAGGTAATGTACCTCAATTTAGGGAGCATCTAGGTATTTTGTTATTTCCAATATCTGTTTAGCTGTTGCTTAAGGGTGTCTTATGCTTCTATAGTTTTTTCATTATAAATTAGTTGCTTCCCAACATCTGCCTCTCCCCTTTTTTTTATCTCGGATCCTGCATATAATGCAAGTTATAATTCTGTATTATTTGCAGTGAACTTCAGTCAAGTTTAATCTCATGTTCAGGATCAGAGGCAAATGATTATAAGATACTAGGTAGCCCGTCTCTGATGGTTGGAGAAGATAAAGCATCCAAGAAAAAGAATTCTATGTCCAGTCAGTTACAAGCAGACAACCTTATGGCTTATCCTAATCAGAAGAATCTCAAAAATATGCCTTCTGGTTTTACTTATAAAATCAAGGAATTTGCATGCAGTTCACTGAAACAGGTAAACTACTATAAACTAGTCTATTTTCATGTTCGAAATTTGTTGGTTGGGATTGTTCTACCTATTATTGTTACTAGTACTGCTGTTGGCATACTGGGCAGGTGATTGACAGTGAGGTTCCCATTGATCTTCCATCTAGCTTGAGAAAGTGCAATAAAGCATCTAAATCATTTGTAAATACCAATGAATGCCACACACCTGGATCATCCATTATTAAAATGTGTGCTCTTGAGACCCCAAAGTCTGCTCGTGGAAGCTCCATATTTTCACCTGGAGAAGGTTTCTGGAATGAAGCAATTCAAGTTGCTGATGGCTTGTTCCTTCAAACTGATAGCTTTGCTGCCGCAGAAATCAAATATGGAAATAACCAATATGAGACAAATAATTCATACAGTTTAAAGAATATGGATTGCGATGAAAAGATGAAGATACCTGCTGAAGGTGAGAGCAGAGTTCAAGGTGTCAGAGTTGGTGTTTCTTTGCCCTTATTAGAGAAGCGTAAGAAAGATAATGATAAAGAGGTGTCCCCCTTACCTGTGAAGCACTTTGATTTTTTATCTGAGGACAAAAATGGGGATGGGAGTAGTCCACGTCCTTGTGTTGCAGATACTTTAGAAGATGTTGCATGTAGAGATAATGAACTATCTGAATGTGGCTCTGTAATTTGTAAAGTTCCCCAACCTGTTGTGAATTTAGAGCAAAATTGTGACGTTCAGACAACTGAACAAATTCTTAGTGTGCAAGAGAGGACTTTTGATCATCCGATGCTTGAAGGGAAAGTGGATTTATCAACTCAAGATAATAATGCTCTTTTTATGTCCAATTCGTCAATTAATGACATCAGGAAACCAGTTGGTAACGGTGAATCTGATGAAGCCAGCACGCTGTCAAGTTTCATGATGCATAAGAACAATTTAGAACTTAGCAACTGGCTTCCTTCAGAAATATGCAACATATATAGAAAGAAAGGAATTTCAAAGTTGTATCCTTGGCAGGTACTATTATACTTTGAGCTGGAGTTAGATGTGACTAGATTTATTTATTAGTTGATTGGGGATGAAATTTTATGTTATTAATTTGGTAAATATGGTGATGCACAATTTTGGAGACCCAAAATTGGAAGGACCACAATATTAAGGAATATTTATGTAGCTTTAATGGTTTGTCATTATTACGAACACTTTCTTACCTCACTGCTAATTTAGGTTTATTGTTTCTAAGAAGTTCTGTTTCTTGTTTGATTAGAATTCATATTTTATATTCTATTTATAATAGTATATCTAGAAACCCTATAAATATACAGGTGATACCCTAATATTCAGAAAAATGATTATGAATAAGATATGCACATATTCTCTCATGATTTACTGCTTGCCAATCTTGTGATTATGATTTCATTTTCAATTTTTGTGATTGTGAATTTCTTTTTTCAATTTTTCTGTCTTTATATAGTTTTTTTTAACCATGCTACATCATGTAGTAGCTAGTATAAATGGATTTGTTTTTTGGCTTGTGGATATTTGTTTCTGATATCTAATGTGGGAGATCAAGCAAACTGTAAACTTATACTTCATTTTTTCTTCTGTTTGATCGTTATTTATTTATTTTTATTATTCTTATTCCCTATCAATAACACACATGATAACAAATGGCACAATATATGCATACGCGTCTTTGTGTGCTGGACTTAACTCTTCGCCCTTGACTGTTAATGCCATTGGTTTTTAACTGAAATTTATTGCCTTTCGGTTATAATTTTTTCCTATATGGATTATCTGGTATTCAACTCCTGGCTTTAATTCCTTTTACTTAAAGCAAAGAATGTTTGTTTTTCCAGGACAGTTTTATCATGAGAAGAACTTAAAACAATTATCTCATCCATGTCTTTCATAGCTAAACTCACAGTCTTTAAGTATTTCTCATTTTCAGGTTGAGTGCCTTCAGGTTGATGGTGTTTTGCAGAGAAGAAATCTTGTATATTGTGCATCAACAAGGTACTTTCCATTGATGATATTCTGCCAATTTAAACATGTGCTTTGATAGCCACTGTCTGTTATGCTGGAAATATTGCCAAATAATGCAAATGCGAATTACTGAGGAAGTTACTTTTGGGTTCTTATGGTGTTTGAGTGGCATCTAATAAACACATTGCTTTATTTTGCTCTGGTTGCCACAGTGCTGGTAAAAGTTTTGTTGCAGAGATATTGATGTTGCGCCAGGTGATATCAAGTGGAAAAATGGCACTGCTTGTGCTTCCATATGTATCAATCTGTGCAGAAAAGGTAATTTTTAAGTTTCCACCTGAAAGTAGAAGCACAAAATAATTTCTTTTCATCTTATGTTCTATATATAATAAATTGTGTTCAGGCAGAGCATCTTGAACTCCTCCTTGAGCCACTTGGTAAGCATGTCCGGAGTTATTATGGAATTCATGGTGGTGGAACACTTCCTAAAGATACTTCCGTAGCTGTCTGCACAATAGAGAAGGCGAACTCTTTGATAAATCGTTTGCTAGAAGAGGGTCGGTTGTCTGAAATTGGGATTATCATTATAGATGAACTGCACATGGTATTTCTTAACATCAATCATTTGTAGATATGTTGCATGCTTCCCTAAATTTTTTTTCCCTAATTGTTCTTTCTAGGTTTTACCTTGGCAGTATTAATGTATAGGGTATTTCATCCTATGGCTATTCACAGGTTGGTGATCAAAGCAGGGGTTATCTTCTGGAACTTATGTTAACGAAGCTTCGTTATGCGGGTGGAGAAGGCTCTTCTGAAACAAGTAGTGGTGAAAGTTCAGGCCCGAGTGGCTCTAAGGTTGATGCTCTGAGTGGCATACAAATGGTGGGGATGAGTGCTACCATGCCAAATGTTGCAGCAGTTGCTGACTGGCTTCAAGTAAGCAGAACCTCTAAACATCAATTTTCCTTCCTTGCTCTTGCATTTTCCTTATCTCTGTGAAAACTGTGCAATGTCTCCAACTCCATATCTCCTCCTCTTCTTGTACTTATTTACCAAAAATTTGAATTTTTTTAATTTTTAAAGATAAAACGACATTGCCATTATGGGACAGAGTTTTCCAGGTGTTCAGTAGTGTTTCAGGTTTGCAGACGCAATCATATAACATCTCTAGATATTTGTTATGAGTTTTCACATGTTTGAGTCCTGTGCCTGACTTTTTCTCCATTGTGATGTGGCTTGGAGACTATGGGCCAGGCCTTATGAGATATTTGGAGCAAGTTGGTTTTTCTTCCCCAGCCCTTATGTCTTTATTTCTTCTTGGTTATGTTGTTTTGGCAGAAACAGGGATTAGAAGATATGGAGAAGGGCTGTTTTTTTTGTGTTTGTGAGTGTTATGGTTGGAAACAAATACTAGAGTTATTTAAAGACGAATCTCAAACCCCTTTTGTATGGACAAATTAGTTTTTTCATGGCTCTTGGGACTTTGGGTGAAGGTTCATTGTTTTTTGAGGGTCTCTTGTTATTTTGCAAAGAGATTGGGCTGCTATGTCGTGTTGTTTTCCTTTTCTTTTTTCCCTATTGTTTATGTTATTCTGAAGTTGTTCGAGGAGGATCTATTATAATTTTTTTCCAATATTATTTCATTTTCTTTTCCTAATGTTTCTCTTATCTAAAAGAATACTAATTTTTTTGGGATAAAAGTATAGATAAGTATTATTTACAATGGTTCCAAGGGTGTACCACTCATATACAACATATTTATAAGTCAATTAAATGATCAATGACATTCCTAAATTCTTTCAATCTATTAACGTCATGACCCACTATAGAACCAAAAGTATGAAACCATTTATCCCTAATGTTAACCATCTCTTTCTCCATACCCTCAAAAGCTCTAACATTCATTTCTTTTCAAACAACCCAAAAGATAGATAATTAAAAAGAAAAATGCCCAAGCCCATAACTTGTCTCTCACTGAACCTGCAATTGCTCAGTTGATCCCCAGGAGCCTGTACACCATAGTTCATATGTTGTAAAAAATTGGGCATCACAACAGAATGTGATTACAGGATTCCACATCCCTTTTACATAAGAAACACCGATTAACTAAAAGAACATTATTTTTATTATCAAGAATTTCATTATATGCCTCAATTTGGTTTTGAGGTGGTTAACATATGCAATTATAACGAATCTTGCTTTGGCAAACATTACATAGTAGTTAAGGAATGTAAGTACGATATTGCATTATGTGTATGACTTAAATGGTTCCTCACAGCGCTTACCTCTCACTGCTTGCTCATCTTTGTATGTGTAAGTTATGGATGACTATTGCATTCACAACCTATGGGTACTCATACTGCCCAGCCTGGATCAAGGCTGTTTTTTTCTTCAAGAATGTGCTTCTGTCGGTATCGGTTGAAACTTACAAAAATTAAGAGTTGATTAATTTCAGGTTTTGATACATGTTCATATGATTTGACCTCACCAGACTTGGGGATACATATATTTACTGAATATGCAAAATTATAAAAAATATTAATATATAAGTTTATTTCTGTATAATATATTTTTGTTTATAATATATGTATTTTCTACAGAGTTAGAGCAGTTTGGGTGCAGGTTGGATATTTTAAATGTCCAAACGTGGGGCGACTGATATAAACATTGTTTTTCCTTTATTAGAATTTGGTATATAATTGAAATTGGAGTCAGACCCGAGTATATTATTTCAAATTATCCTGTTGCCATCCATTTATGACTGCATAAAAGTAGTGAACTTAGTAAGTTATAGGGGCTAGCTTCATGTTTTGGTTTTTCTGTTTATCCATTTCGTAGTCCCAATCAAGACTGAGGCTTAGTTATGAAAATTAGGTATTAGAGCCTGGTTTTTTATATTCTTGTATTATGCAGAACATAGAAACCTCTACTATTCAAGTCTGCTTGTGTTTCGACCTTTGTTGTGGGAGTTTTGCTCTACAAAGATCCCATCAGGGGTGAATCTTAAGGGATGGGAGGTCCTTGAGCATGAATCTTTAAACTATTTAACAATCATATATATTGTCAATTGCCTACATATTTGACTATATTCATTTCCTGATAGTTTTCTCATTTTATTTAGCTTCAAGTATTTGATCTTAGAATAGGCATTTGAATGCTGAATTGTTGATTTCATACTTTGTTAGGGTTTGATATGCCTAAAAGTATAGGACTAAATTCATTGTTTGGTAACTAAAAAATAAACATCGCACAGAAAGAAAAATGTTGCATCTTTGGAAAACTTAATGAAATGTTGCATCTTTGGAAAACTTAATGAAATGTTGCATCTCTAAACAAATCGCAAATTTTGATTTTATGAAATAACAAGAGTACCCTTAACTTTTCTCAACTTTTCAGCCATAAACATTTTCTCTTTTTTAACACACACAAATTCATAATCAAACTGAAGTAGATTTTTTTTTATATTACTAGTAACTGATTAATATTCTGAAATGAATTTAAATTTAATAAATTAATTAATTATAACAAAAAATATAATTAAGTCTTTAGCCGATAATTCTTTAGTAACTTTTCTCAACTTTTCAGCCATAAACATTTTCTCTTTTTTCAGTCATGAAGCTTATTTGGTAATTATCGACTAAAGATTTAGTTATATTTTTTGTTATGATTAATTAATTTATTAAATTTAGATTCATTTCAGAATATTAATCAGTTACT